GTGGCCCCTTCTCTCTCCCTCACTGACACTCACTCACAAACTCAGCCCATCCCCTGCCACTTGTATGAAAACTGTGCATTGCAGCTCTTGCTGAGAACAAGCTAGATGCATATGCAGATATCAATCGTTACAATAGGTCTTTGTTGACTCACAGTGGAGCCACTGTAAATTCCTGATAGGTGTGAAAATGATGGTAGCTGCTAAAAAGGAGAGGTTTGGTACATACTGGTTAGAGCAGCAAGGTCTGAAGTTGTTGGGCCACTAGTCTTCCCATTAAAGAACAGTGAGACAGATATCCAGTTTAGGGTGATTTATTTGCTGTGTTTCTTCTGGTATTTATTTACACACTGCAGTAAACCAGCAAAGCGCAAACAAGCTTGAACAACAAGGCTCCGTCTGTGTCAGGAGAGAAGCGGAACATGATCTATTCACACAAGGAGAGCTGTTGGTCAGGCTAGTTCTTGTGCCATTAACTCTAAAATAGTTATTACCATACCATACCACTTTATTTATAAAGCACTTAAAACAGCTACAAGGCCAACCAAAGTGCTGTACAGACAAAACAACAGGTAACACACAAAGCAAAATACAAAATGAGGTAAATCAGAATATAGACATAAAAACGATGCAGATAATGATGAGTTATTGAATCAATTGTTTATTTATGTAGGTAAAACTAGATGCTAAACACGCTAAAATACACCAAAATGCGGGAAATGGCATCTTCTTTATTAAAAAAAAAATGCTTCTGATGCCATTGGCCACCTTGTTGTTCAAGCCAAGAGCCATTGTCAAATCTGGGGGATGAGCACCCCTACAGGGCACATAGAAACCCAATGCAGCATGGTGGCGCAACTGGTAGAGCTGCTGCCTCTCAGCGAGCAGGTCCTTGGTTCAAACCCCGGTCCAGGGGCCTTTCTGGGTGGAGTTTGCATGTTCTCTCCGTGCATGCGTGGGTTTTCTCCGGGTACTCCGGTTTCCTCCCACAGACCAAAAACATGCATGTTAGGCTGATTGGTAACTCTAAATTGTCACTAGGTGTGAGTGAGAAAGTGAATGGTTGTTTGTCTTGTTTGTCTCTATGTGGCCCTGTGATGGACTTGCGACCTGTCCAGGGTGTACTCCGCCCCTCGCACAGTGATTGCTGGACATGGGCACCAGCGACCCCCGTGACCCAAAATGGAATAAGCATGTAAAGATAATGGATGGATGGATGAACTCAGATCCTGGTTCTGTCAGTTACAGATCTCGGATCACTTTCAATCTGGCTTTCTAAAACACCATTCCCCCAAAACTGCTCTAGTAAAAGTCCACAAATATCTGTTAATGGCTGCTGATGAAGGAAAATACTCTGTGTTGGTCCTATTAGATCTTAGCGCTGCCTTTGATACCGTTGACCACGCAATCTTATTAAACAGACTGAAGGTTCTGGCTGGTATTTCTAGCTCAGCTTTGGACCGGCTCATAT